TTTAAAAGCCTTCGGTCTATCAACTGGCACATTTTTTTGAATTTCCTTAAAAGCATTGTTTTGAATTCTTCTTTTTTTCCCATACTTGACTTGCATCCAAGGGCCATATCCATGCTCTTCCGGATCAACATTTGTTATAACTTCAGAATTTACTTTTAGAACATCAGAATTTACTACCGGATCAGGTAAACCTGTTTTATTTATGACTTCAGCAGATTTACACACAGGACAATTCACCATTAGGTGTCCAATTTTGCAGCATTTGAAACAAAGCTTTGAAACTTTTTCATATTCCACTCTTTGATAAAATTTTGTAGAATCCCCTTCCACCCATACTCCCAAGGGAAGTTGTTCATCTAAATTGATACGAACACAAATTCTAGCAAATTCTCTTCGATTCCATTGGATCATGTTTCCATCAAGTAGAAATGGCTTCCCAACTAGAGATGCAATTCTACAAATGTTAATATCATCCCAGCAGTACAAAGGTAGATTAGGAAGTCTAATCCAAACAAGAGCAGAAAGACCTTTCAAAGAATTTGTAGAGAAAGAAGTTGTCCATTTATCAATACCCACAATATGACCTTTAACAAACCAAGGTCCTTCATATAAGATAGAGTCCATAATCTCTGCATTTTCACAAGAGCATAAAACCCAGTCTTTACCCAGCATAGTGAGTCTAAAGTTTCCAAAGCCACTCCACTGTCTTCTCAGTTCACTGTTGATAACATAGAATGGGATGTTATCACCAAAAACTTTGATAACAAGAGCATTTGTCAGTTTTCTGGAATTCTCCAATACATTCTCCATATGAAGTTTAACCGTTTTTCCATCTTAATTAAGAAATGAACCTAAGTTCAAATTATCCACTTTCACTTTAGCATTTCTTGCCCAAGCATTAGTCTTGAAATTGCCCATTTTATCAGTATTCACAGGAGGATAAATTTTGTTTGGAATCTGACTTTCAGAATTTAAATCTCGTGAAATACAATGTCTAACCTGTTCCAGATCATTTTGAATTGCTGTATTTTTTAGTGGTTGCGGCTCATCAGTATACATCTTATCAACATCTGGTTGATTCATATCAATCACCGTATCAACATTCCTTAAATTCGCACCTTTGGAATTCAGATCAACAGGATTGCAAGTAGTAGAATTACCAAATCTACTCACATGTAATTTGAAATCAGACGAATCCGAATTATTCGGGCTAACAGAATTGAATTTCAGATTTTTAAAAAACTTTCGACTCTTCACTTTATCTTCAATAAGAACAGATTTGCCTTTTCCAATAACTGGAATCGTCTTTTTTGGATAAAGACAGGCACCTTCATTAATGATCAATGGCTTTTCTTTAACAGTGATTTTTTCCTTCATACCAGACCGAATTTTAAAAGAAGAATTTAATTCAGAAATCATTGAATCTGGAGGATCAGTCCTCCCATCCATTGCAGTAATTGGTAAAGATTCACCCATCATTCATCTTCAGATGATCGAAAGAAGATAATCGGCGCAGCAGATCGCCGAGAAAAAACAGAACAGAACAATTTGAAAATTGTTTTCTCTCTCTAGAAAATGGCAGCTTCCATTTTTCTGTATGTCTTATTTAAAGTTGCAAATTCGAAATAAAGGAGAAGAATATGCAAATTCGAAAGAAAGGGTATAAACTAAAAATTTACTACATAGAGAATGGAGATATTCTTCAACTCACCCTGAAGAACTAATCTTAGGAGACCCATCTAATGGTGTTAAAACTAGGCATGGACTTAGAAAAGAAGCAAGCTACTCTTCTTTTATCTTAATAATTGAACCCATAAATATAAATCAAGCACTATCTAATGAATTCTAGATCCTAGACATATAAGAAGAATTGAATCAATTTGCTAGAATAATATTCATGAGCTAGTTGAAAGACCTAAGGGCTATAGTATTATTGGAACAAAATAGGTTTTAAAAAATAAAATGAATAATTATGGTGTAGTGGTTAGAAATAAAGTAAGACATGTGGCTAAGGGGTATAGCCAAATAAAAGTGATTGACTTTAAAAAGACTTTTGCCCCTATAGCTAGACTAAAAGCCATAAGGGTACTACTAGCTTTCACATACTTTAAGCGATTCAAATTGTATAAAATGAATGTTAAATGTGCCTTTTAAATGGGGTAATAAAAGAAGATGTGTATGTTGAACGACCCTCAAGCTTTGAAAACTCATAATTTCCCAATAATGTGTTCAAATTAATAAAGGCATTTTTGATGCTTTTTGTTTATGTTTTGCTTTTCGCTATTTTATTTTTTTACTTGTATTTTTATTTTATGTTTTTTTTTCAGTATTTTAAGAATCTGATCACACCTCAATTCTACTAAAATTTGTTTTAAATGATAATTTTGCCTTATTTTTGTTTAGATGTTCTTAAGCTATGGTTGACTATTCTCAAATAGTTAAAAAGAATAATTGATGATTTTTTCTCTTCCTCCTCTAACTTCTTTAGTGGTGTATTTTCTTATCAAATCAAAATCTATTTCAAATTAAAAGTTGGACCTTAAAATAAATATCTGCTTCATCTTCCTACAACATTTATCTCATATGAGTAATGTTCCAAGTTCATGAATCTACTTCAAATTTTCTTAATCAAGTTGTTTGCATTTATCTTATAGATAGAAATTTATTTTGTGGTTTACTCTTTCTTATATAAGATAGTGAGTTTGTCTTCTCTCACATTTGAAAGATAATCTCACAATTGAGAGGAATTTTTTAAAAGATTTTGAAAAAAAAAACTAGCATTAAAATAATTAAAAAAGGCACAAAATGAGCCCAAAACTAAAAAGTTGCGCAAAAGCTGCTAAATAATTACAAGATGCACAAAGTGTATAAAAAATCAAACAAAGAGTAATGTGCTTCAAAAGCTAAAAAAGAGGCATAAAATGAGCCCACTATGAATTAGCTTCCCTTTCTTTTAAATCTTTAAAATCTTGAAAGACTCTAAGTGCCAATTGATATCTCCTACACTTAAATTTGAAAATTATGATTTCTAACTCATTTCATTATAATTTTATTCAATCAAATATTATTTTGAAACAAATTTTGAATAAATCACATTTCCTATCTTTTTTTTTTTTTTTTTTGAATTAGAGTTTGTTTGAAAAGGAATTTGACCTGTAAGGAGCTCAAGTTAGGGTTTACAAAATTCAATTTTTAACCTTTCTTGATTTCAACATTGTCAATTTATTCCTTACTGATTTTTAATCTAATAATAAGGAAAATTTAACATTTACTGAAGTTTATCGAATAAAAAAATATTGTATTTTCTCTTGATTACTTAACTTATGTTATATTTTAGCTATTTTTTTACTTATTTTACTTTATCTTCTTTCTTGTAGCTTTTCTGATCATTCATCTCCATCTCTAATTTTTTTCTCATATAGTATTATATGATCCATAACATACTATACAATATGCACAATTTTCATCACATGTCTGATCACAATGCAACTAACAGTTCATATTCATCGATTATTAGTGATCGTACTATATGATTACTTCTTCATATTGTACGATCTATGTGGAAGGAGCCATTGCACAAATTGAATTTAGTTGGTACAATTTTTTTAACCCATCATATTGTACTATCCACCTTATCATATTGTATGATCAAATAAGTTAATAACCGTACAGGTTGACTCCTTAGGATAAACGATCTCTCCCTAATTGTCCAATATGATGTCTGATCGTACTATACAATAAGACCACCTTTTTTATTGATCATCTGGATTAATTGATTGCCCATGATTATTCAGTATAATCTCATAATCATGCTATATGATCTAGCAATATTTACATAAATAACAAGAGTTTCTTCACTTTCTTTTCACCATTTCAATCCTCTTATCCTTTACTTTCCTCTTGCGCTCTCATTCCTTAAAATGGCTGATGGAAAACATTCTCGAGCACTTATGGGTAGTTCCTCTAGGTGTACTATCAATCTTAGATATATAGAGGATGCTGATGAAGCAGCTTTTAATCATTATAAAACTACTGGACTTACCCTTTCCAAAATCATCAATCACGAGGTTTTAAACTTTTAGGTACTCAATCTTTCTGCTAGCACAACTCTAAGTTTCATCCTCACCCTTGCCTTTTCATTCAAATCTAAACTTCTATTCAAATTTTTCATAAGCCTTCAAATTAATAATGAAGTTACTGCTATATAATCTTATGTTAATAAAAAACCTGTAGAAATCACTCACCAAGACTTACATGAATTTCTTCATCTTTCCACTATTGGAGATAATATTCACATTTTAGACTCAAATCATGATTATAATTGGAACCCTACAAACAACATTCTTATAGAAACTAATGTTAACTATCATGTAGCCTAAGTTAACACCTTAGTCTAGGATGCTTGAATCATTCAGCACATCCTTCGTAACTCAATCATTCCAAAAGCTGAGGATCATATTAACATTACCCTTGTTCCCTCACTTGCCACCTACTACATCATGGCTAACATTGACTTTAATGCAGCTGATATTATCATCACTATCTTGACAACTTAACATGCATTTGAGATCCTCACCATAAAAGAATGTCTAACCTTACATTAGGACATTTACTTTCCTTTGTCGTAGAGTCAAATACAATCTTCAATTTCATGCTCCGCCTGATCACCTCCCTATATTCTATAATAGCTCCTTCCACGTCCTTCATAATACTCATTGTCACACTATGCATGAAGAGCCTATGGAAGAGGAGGGAGGACCTATTCCTGCACCTGCCCCTATCTGCCAGTAGTCTTATATTGATCAGCTGGTTCAGAGGTTTGATCAGTGGGAGGCTTATTTTGACTCCTACGTAGCATAGCAGCAGCAGTAACATAAACAAGGTCTAGCTTGCTTTGACTCTTACCTAGCCCAACAGCAACAACAGTATAATAAGGATATGGCCTGGTTTAGAGAATAATTTTCCTCCCTTCAACATTTCTTTCAGCCTCCACCACCACCTCCATCTCCACCTAATTAGGATTCTTCCTTTTTCTAATTTACTCTATGTTTTTGTTCCAGTTGTTGTATTGTTCTTTACTTCTGTACTTTATGATGCATGTGTGTGTTTTTTTCTCTCCTTTATGTCTTTTGTTATTAAGTTATTTCCTTCTTTTTGTGATGTCAAAAGGTGGAGTAGTAGTTTGTTATTCAATTATTTGCACCCTCATTTAAATGAAGTCATTTTATTACTTTGCTTATATTTATTTTTGCTAATTATTTCTAATATTTATTTCATATTAAAAAATTAATTAAAATAAAGTTTTTGTTTACTCACCTTACTTCTCAAAATTTACCTTCTAAGAGGGAGATTAGAGAATAGAAAAGAATTTTAATATCTTTAAACAATAATGTTTGTCATCATTAAAAAGGTAAAGATTGTTGCAAATTTGGACTCAAGTATTATGATTTGGGTGATAGCAAATATTATAATTTCCTTATTGTTATGTCTTGTCAATTAATTTACTGCATATCTATTTTAGCTTGCTCACTAATATTCCTAGTCCATCGTTCACTTGGAACTTCAATCAGCTCAAGATTGGGTTGACTAGGGTTGAGTATATTTGTAATTTCAACTTCAATGTACATTTATCTTTTTGTAGTCAAGTTATGTATAAAGTGGATACTAAGCTGAGTAATCTTACACACAAATACTCTAGGAAGTGAGTTTGTGAGTTAGAAAAATTTCTATTTTTTAAACTAATCGTATAATACAATTTATATCATAGTGGACGATCAGTTAACCAGAAAATCTTAATTATGGTACCCTTTGATAATTGAGATTGATTAAACTAATCATACTAAATTATCCTAACCATACATGATGATCAGGTATAATCATAATATTTAGCCGCCAATCACAATTTAGGTAATATTTTAATATTCAGTTTTTTCTCAAATAATACAGTACTATATATTAGATGATTTGTAATAATCATGACTAAATTGATCATGTAATTAGAAACTAATTAAGATTTAATTGATCAATCATATTATATATGAAGATCATAATGTCCTACCCAAGAGATGTCTGGGAAGTATTTAATCACGCCCATCATTGTTTATCATACTGGATGATCAATACATTCTCCTATACTAATCGTATATGACGATAGCAATTTCGTATGGGACGATCAGTATAATCTCTTTAATTGATCGTACAGACCAATATAATTTATACTGTATGGTAATGACGTTTTGCGCTAATCGTACATGATGATCTAACGATCGTACGTGTTGATCATTTATGAAAAATAGAAATTTATGGCTTCTTTGGAGGCTTTTTATTTAAACTCCTACATTTTATTATAAGACATATTTTTTCTGTTGAGTGTGCTTGAGAGGGAGCTTAGAGAGAGAGAGAGAGAGAGAGTCGAGGAGAGCTTTGGTAGAGAAGAGGGGTAGAGTTCTTGTAAAGAGTTTTGAGAGGTTCACAAGGTTACTCCATGCAAAGTTCCTTCGAATCTTCTTCAAGTCTTTGCTTTGATTCTTAGGTGGCTTCAGGGAGACATTCTTTAGCACTAGATTGTAGTTCTCTGCCAACTCCTGGATGGAGTAAAAGGTTTCTTGGTTCTCTGCTATCTCCAAGAGGGAGAAAAAAGATTTCAAGTTCTCTGCCTTCACCAGGAAGGTAAAAAATATTTAAGGTACTCTGCCGCACCGGGTTAGTGACAGAGTTTTTGTATGGGCTTTTCCACCTAGCTGTTATGGCTAATGGAGAAACACTAAAAGGTTTAGTGCAATACCTGGATTGGAGGCTTACAGGGAGAATGGAGGTCAGATTTGACTGAACAACTATAAAATTTAGTGTGTTTGTTCTTTTTACTTTTCCGCATTTTAATTTTCATATTTTTTGTGATTTACTATATTGTTGAAAACTTCTATTTATTTTGTTATTATGAATTTATTTGCTTCTGCATCCATTATTGAAATCGTCTAATTTTACTGTTTGAAAAAGTATAAAAAGATTATCCTTTTCCCCCCCCCCTCCTTTTGATTAGCTTCGGGCAGGTTCTTAGAGGTTTAACAACCTACACAAACTTTCACTATTTATTATTTCTTAAACTTACTTTAGTACGTAAGAACATTTTTAAGGGGTGTTAATGTGTTGTTAGTAATCATTTTTAGAATATTTTACAATGCAACTATTTTAAATATTGTTTGATAGTTCTATATGTTTTCAAATGTGATATATACTAATACTTTTTTTTCTTTTGTTAAATTTTTTAGAAATGCAGAATTCATATCATATCACCTTCTTCTGTATTTACTAAAATTTTATTATTTAAATTTATGGAATTTCAATCAGGATATCGATATATTGTAAGTTCATGATGGATATTCTGCTAATGGATATTAATAGGTTACTAATTGAAATATCAATAATATTGATTGATTATCGATGGAAATAGGGTTAGTAATTAATGATGAAATTTTAGTAATTATAGATGGATTATTGATAAATTTTGGTTAAACAATTTGTTAGTAATTTATACATCAAAATGTGTGAATGAATAATGAAAAAATTTCTTTCTATTGAGGGTTTTACTTACTAACTTTTTTTTCATAAAACCATTGATTAAGAATTCATTGACGGTAAATTTATTATTACCAATGGCATATCTGTCAATGATAGACATTTTTATTATATTGTTATTGAACAATTGAAGAGTAAAATAGCCAAAATAATTTAGATTACCAATTAATAAATTTATATAGATCATTGATAGATAAATAACCAGAAGTAAATTTACTCACTGAAGCAAATTAAAAAATGGTAAGCAAAAGCTTCAATCTCCTCATCTAAAGAAAGAATGGTTGGTTTAGCTTTAAAGATATTGGGTTGCTCAATGGAAATAGAAGAAATAGTTGATTCCTAACCCAACAAAGAACCCTTAAAAGATTTTGAAGGACCATCAAATAAGGTAATAGGTTTTATTATGAACAAGGGAGACCAAGGAAGAATTTTCTTTGTTGGTTCTAGCTTAAACTTCGACAAAACCCATAAATAGAACCCTATATTTACCGAACAATACTTAATGTGCAAAGTCAAATAAGACGAATAAAAAAGAGTAAAATGATTAGGAGTACCAATTAGCCGATCAAGAATACAAACACGATGGAGTAGAGGATTAGATAATGAGAAAGAATATTACCAACAATTCTTGAAGAAGACATCACTGAGACTCCAAAAAACAAGAAGCAAGTATCATTTCCCCTCTTTCTCTAAATTGTTTACATGAATAAAAGATTTAACTACTATTCTCAATAATATGGTGTTAAGTATGAAATTGATAATATGATCTTGAGTCGGTCATGTAGACTTTGGTAGCTTTTTTTGTCGTGTCTTGAAGGAATGTTGATTACTTGCACAAAAACTAACTACATGTGGAATTAATTAGCTATACTATCTTTACTTTAAATATTTAGTTCTCTATTAATTAATGTGTTTAATTATTGTCGATTTCTTACAATTATGACTATGCATCAAATGCTTGTGAGATACTTTCCTTTGTAGTAATTTAATTATTGTCTTATTATTGGTGAGATTAACGACTTACTGCTAATTACAAATAGGTGACGTACGTGTGGATCATGCACGGACCGCGGGCTGAACAATGGATGGAGAACTAAGTAGCTAGAAAGTCTCAGAAAATATTTTTCCTACATAGTGTAGAAGTATAAGGTCAGGTGAAAAGTATTATCTTTACAAATGTTTTGTAATTTGAAGACCCTATCTCCCATGACGATTTTCTCTCTCCTCACAGAAACTTTTCTCAAAATATGCAACAATTTTTAAAGAAAACTTGCAGAAGCTAGAGTGAAAGAGAGTAGTAACGCTGGCTTAAATTCAGTTCATCATAAAGCTGTAATGAATTGACTGATTCGGAAAACTCCACAAATTAAATATAAAGTCAGAAGCATATTATTATTTCAACAAAATATTATGGCAATATAATTTTACAACAGTCGTAGTACAATCTGCAGCTTATTTAGCATGCATTCACCAATCACGAATAAGAAACCAAGTGGATATATAATCGACTGCTGATACGTTTTTCTGGAAATAATCAACCCAGCTTCAATGAATAAGATACGTCAGTACAAGTGCTATCAGCATAAGCATATAAGCAATTCCTTGATCTATCGCTTTAGCTGCAATAATCAAATCAGAACAATTAATTAAAACCTTCGTTAACGCCAATACTAAAATCGTCAAATTCTAATAACGTAATTTCTCAAAATGTAAATAAAATCATGCTCACGCACCATCGTTTCTGTATGCTTCTGTTATCTGATTAGAGGTATTCTGCAAACCCAAAGAAAGACATGGATGCAAGAAAATAGAAAGAAGAAAGTAGGCCATGAGCAGCAGAGCTGGAACTTTCATTGAGCTCATCTTCAAACACACGATTAAATTTCAGAATGCAGAGTGTGTGGCTTCTCCTAACCCTCGGGTTCAAAGATATATATATATAAAGGAAGGCTTGGTGCACGAATGGCTACCTGCGCCGCGAGGCAGCGTACCCTTGAACAAATTCAACGATATGGGCCATCACTACAGGCGTGGTAGATCCCTACTGGCTATTCCCACTGAGTTTGACTTCTTGGAATTAAGAAATACCGGTAGGCCGTAGCGATCAACACAAATGGACGCTTGCGACTTTTTACCGCGGATCGGACCGTAATTAATGAGGACGATCGGAAGTGACAAATTGTAAAGCTTTGGCTCGAACGACTCGACTCGACCATTTTGTATGAACTGGGATCGACGGGTCGGTTTTGTAAGGTGTTAATTTTGTCCAAGTGGTTACGCATGAGTGCCCGATTTCTGATAAATTGTTCAAAGTTTGGTTATGAACTTTGACTAATGATGAATTGAGGCGACATTAAACAGAAAAATGTTTGAATTAATGCAGACAATTAGTCGTTGATTTTGAAATGAGTTGTCTTCTAGATTTAATTATTTGGATTTATCATTCAGTTTTGTGGAAAAAAATTGAATGAAAATTGAATAATATGTCCAATCTATATAGTTGTTGACCTCATTTTTGTATGAGGTCACTAAGGCCCTTCCAAACTGTAGATTAATTCTAGATCCTAGGATCCACTCTAGACCTTAAGATCCTTTCCTAGAGCCAATATTTTCAAAATATGCTTTCAAAATTCCACCAACAATAGTATTATTATTATTTATTTTTATTAAAATAAAACTGTTTGCATTAGAAGAATAACTAATTACAAGCTATAAAAAGGCTCACATTCCTTCTTTAACAAACTAGATAAGGGAGAAGGAATGTCACAAAAAAAAAACTATCATATCAAAAAAGAAATTGTCTTCTAAAGCCAAAGTAGCACATAGTCAACTATTTTGTTACATTCTCTATGAACATGGTGGAAGATCACCTTATTAAAATCATTTAAGAACAATAAATCCTTTGTGCACCAAGTGTTGAGTTGCCACTTTGATTTATTCAAAGAATCTTGAATAAACTTAATGATGTTGAAGTTATCACCTTCAATTATTACTCTGCTATCCATCATTCAACTTTGAATGAATCCCCTTATAGTCAAAACAGCCGCCAGCTCAAGTTGTGTCACATCCCAATGAATTCTTTTTTTTCCCAAAAGCAAGAAATAGCCTTCCTTTATGATCTCTAAACACACGTCCAATCCCAACAAGATTCGATTCAAAAAGTGATGGATCCACATTGATTTTAATCCAACCTAGCGGTGGAGGGTGCCAAACATTATTAAACTCCCTAAGGAGATTAACACGTCAGTTATCCAACATTGGATATGAATGCAACATGGTTGTAAACAAAACATTTGCTGCAACTATTGAATTTTGAAGAGTAGGCTTTTGGTGTACCAACTCATTTCTATTTTTCCAATATAGACAAACCGTAGTACAATACAACTTCACCATATTAGAAGAGAAAGTCAAAAGGCTTCTAAGTTCTCGCAGACAACCTTCTAATGATTGAAATGTAGAAATGCTAAGACTCCATTCTCTTAACTATAGAATAATCTTAATCAAGAATTTATAATGAACCACAATATGAGCATAACTTTCTACTTCTTGACATCCTCTTGCACATAAATCATTGTGACTTAGTTTCCTATGTTTAAGAAACTCATTTGTTGGAATGGCAAACTTACTCATCCTCCACCAAAACAATTCCACTCGAGGGTTTAGTTTCAGATTCCTTAACCAATTTGAATATCCAAAGTCTTCCTCCTTAGGGCAACAGTTCATTGACACTTCATACAAAAAAAGTAGCAATTGATTTCCCTATATAATGATACATAGCTTCCACATGATCATAATCAGCGGCAATATTGACAGAAACCTGCAAGATTACCGAAATAAGATCCTCATAGAAAAATCGTTGAAGCTCCTCCACATTCAAGCTACCATCCATTGAGAGAATTAGTAAAGCATTACATCCTCCAATCCCACACAATCAGCAAGTGTTGGCTAAGTACAAAATCATTTATCTAACAACCATATATCTTTTAGAACATTAATTTTCCTTCCATCGGCAAATTTCCATCTCACTAATGGTTTGAGGAATTTTTCGCCATCAAGCAGAATTTTCCATGTCATAGAAGCTCCTCTCTTGCTTTCAACATTTAAAATATTATCACCATACTTAGTAATAATATTTCTATGAAGTAAAGTATTTGGATTTTGAATAAATCTCCAAGCCAATCTCAATCTAAGTGGGCCAACTCTAAGAGCAGTTGAGTGCAATCCCATGCCTCTAATAGATTTTGGTTTACATAATTCATCCCATAATACATAATGCAGCCCTTTCATTCCATTACCTTTGTGTTAAATGAAATCTTTGTAAAATTTATCCACTTCATACAATACTTTCTTTGGAACCAAGGAATGTGTTAATAAGAAGCTTGATAATGATAAAAGAGAGGACTTTACAAGAATGATCTTACCAGCCATTGAAAGAAATTTACTTCCCCAAGCATAAAGTCTTTCCAATACATGATCCAGCATACACTGAAAATCAAATCTTCTCAATCTTCTCAAAATAATTTAAACACCCAAGTAATTGTTGCAATCCATGACCCCCAGTTTGAGCTTTTGATGATGACAAATAAAGTCGTCTTAACATTTATTCATTGAATATTCTTTAATTTATGCTGTTGTCTGTGAGTACTAATATTTCAGGAAGATCACAAATTACACACGACAACAGGAAGACTCAAGACTGGGTAGAATAGGAGTGTGAGTCTAAAATAATGTAATTTTCTATTTATTTTAGTTTTTTCTTTGCTTGAGTCTAGCCACAAACTATATGTAAGTCTGAGCAATCACACACACACACACAAGGGGAGATGGTTTTTTAAAAGAAACAAAAATGAAGATTTTTTTCTATTGATTTTACTGTATGACTTTATATCGTACTGTATGATCTGATCTGTTTAAAATATATTTCTGTGAACATATCATACTGTACAATTTATATCGTACTGTATGATATGTTACTAATCCAAAACCCTAGCCATCAGATTTGTTTAAGTTTTATCAATCGTTCATACTATACGACGTAATTCATACTGTACGATTTATTTCAAATACTTACTTAATATAACCCGTGATTAGTTGAATAAATCAATGCTTAATCATTGATTGGTCATCATACTATACGAACCTGTTTGTACTATACGATGAACAAAGATGAGTTTTAATCGTCCCGAACATCGTCCTGGATGATCTCTTATTTTTGACTCATCGTATTGTATGCTATATATCATACCATACGATGAACAGAGGCCGATTTGATATCATCCCGGAGATCAGCCTGGACAATCTATTGATTTGTTCTAATCGTACTGTATGATGTTGATCGTACCCTACGATATATAGAGAAGAGTTTTGATCATCCTTAATATTATCCTGTATGAACAGAAGAGTGGAGGTTTGTATGGTATGATATTTTATCGTACTATACGATTTATTTTGAACGGTTTGTAAACCTTTATATCAGGATGAAGATTGTTATACATATCATACTGTACAATGTGAAATCGTACTGTATGATTGTAACGGCTACTTTGGAAAATTTTAGGAATTTTGGAGCCCATTTTATGTGCCAAAATTGTTATGTTTTTGGGTGTGTGACAAAGAGAGGAGAACGTAATTAGAGAGGGAATCCTTGGGAGAGAGCTCTTGAGAAGTTTTTAGGGTTTGAGAGAGGAAGGAGAGGGTGAGCTTGGTGAGGGAGAAGAAGTGTGAGGGAGATCACACGGTTGCTCCGCTCTTGCTACATCTTGCTCCTTCTATGGCCCGAGAAGAACTTGTGGGAGGCTCTCTGAGGGGGAGACTCTTCTAAATCCGTGACCTAAGGTACACTGCCTTCACCAGGAGGGTGAGAAGAGCGCTTGACACTCCGCCACGCCGGGTTGATGAAAGTGAGTCTTGTAAGGGCTTCTCCGCCTTACTGAGGGGGCAAAATGAGAGCTATAGTTTTGTAGTGAAAATTCCTGGAGTGGATGACTCCGGGGAGTGGACGTAGGTCATGGTTTGACCGAACCACTATAAAATTCTGGTGTGCTTTTTCCTTATTACTTTTTTATTTTTTATTGCACTTTATTTTCCTTATATTTACTTGGTGATAATTGTGAGAGAAAAAGGATTTCAATTTTGCATGTTGAGTTCAATCAATTTCTTTCGTATTAGTTAAAGTTTTCTTGTTAAAATTTAAAAAAACACAAACATATTAGAACTCTTGCTTAGGATTTTAAATTATTGCAACAAATTTTCACAATTCACCCCCCCCCCCCCTCTTGTCAATCTAGTAATTTCAGTAATGCAGCTCCTTGACCACCTTGAAACCCAATTTCCTCATAATTTGATTCTTCCTTAGATGTTTAACTGCCTTACCTAATAAGATTTGAGAGTTGGAATTATTTATTCTCTGCCACGTCCAACCACAAAATTCAACAACAATACACTTCACAACTTGGGTTACTCTATTAGATGCTTGAGCAAATACTAAGATATGATCTGTGTATGATAGATGTATAACCTTTTGAGCTTTAGGTGAAATTTGAACTCCCAACTCTTGTCCTCCTTATTAATTACACTTGATAATTATTGAGAACACGTGATGAATAAATAAGGTGATAGTGGGCATCCTTGGCGAAACCCACTCTCTGCCTTGATCCATTTTGAAAATTTCTCATTCAAAATGAATGAGAACCTGACATTCCTTACACATTCCATGATCCATTTTGATAACAAGCAGCCTTGGAAAACTATTTTTAAAACACTTTTGAAATTTTCTCTCTCAGTAAGATGGATTTGTAATAAATTTTTTCCAAGTAATCTCTTATACATATTTTTGGAGAAGATTCTTGCATAAAAATCATTGGTCCTTTTGTAACAACTTCTTCAAGGTTAGGCAAGGTGCT